TTTACTAGGCAATTTACTACCCTTCTGGACTCTATTCAAACCACAAAGTTTATATTATTAACAACTAATTAAAGTTTTAATTTAATTTTCGTTACAAATCTTAAAAATAATTATAAGATGATGTATAAAATGTATGAAAATGCTCTATTTTCAAACATTTTTAACAGAGGTAATTTTTCAGCAGTGTAAAATTGCAATTTTCGTTCGAATCCTGGTTTTGGTTGGCCCTATTTAATCAAAGTCAGGCTTATATAAAATACCATTCTTATGAAAACGAATGAATTCCGAATGAAGAAAAAAGATGTTATGTACCTAATTTATCTTTAACAAAATATTTTAATAAAAAAAATTGTATTGAAAAATTCCATTTTTGCTAAATTTTTCTTCTTCCTAAAGTCTAAATATGGATTTCACGACTGAGTTATGAAAATTGCTGCTTCCGATGACACTTGAATAATCCAAGTTCACCAGCCATTGGCCTTTTGCGAATGAAATCAAGAAGGTGCACCTTTTGTTTCCCAAAAGAGCACCGCAAAGGTAAAATTACGTCTTAATACAGTACCCCACGGATAGATGGCTGCGCCACTCCTTCATGAGGCCACTTCCTGAATTTAGACTTAAATCTAAGGGTGAAAGAAAATTTTCCCAGATTTCTGTACCCATGGTCCTGTACTGCTCAATCACTACTGAAGTTGAGGAAGGGTTGAGAAGAAAAATTTTCTCTTTCCATTTGCATTTTCACACTCTTCATAAACAGTTCTGTACCATTAATTAAGTTATTTCTTTGAAAATACATTTATATCATCCATAATAATTAAATCAGCTTACACATTTTGACATAGATAGAAAGAATAAAATAGCGGTTGGTGGGAAACAGAGCACCCAACTTTGTATATATAGGGTTGTCCAACAACCAGCTTACAGGTGACGAACCTCCTAATGTTCATTTTGCTTTTTAAGCGCATGCGCTGGATCTCAGTACATATGATGCTCTCCAAAATCTGAGTAAGTTGCTCACCCTGTAAGTTGTTTTTCTGGCAGGCGTACCGTGCCCAACAGCTCCTTCGTTAGTCACATATTCGAAAAGATGGACTTCTTCTCTTTACTGCTTTCTTTGGTCAAGGATCTAACCCCGGCCAATTCGCGCCTGTGTCAAATTCTATAACCCATGGGCTACCTCGGCCCTTTTAATGAAAGTAAACTACGGGATCGACTTATACACTGAATGCACAGTAGATTCATAATTTAGAAATTAAAAATTGGGGATCGATTTACACAATAGTTCAATGTATAATATACACACTAAAAAATATGGTACTTTTTAGAAAAACTAATAATTTGCCATGCATATTAGCATCGAAAAATGTCATTTCAAGTATATTTCGAACTTCCATCAAATATTCATTTATAATGTATGTCTATTTATTTGATTATTATTCATATTAAGCAAATCTTAAGTGACTGAACTTTATAGGGCTGTGCTAGAAGATTACCTGCCGTGTATAGTCATCTGCGGAGTTGCGTGCAGCTTTGAATTTCTTGATTCGACATTTGAAGATTTCAACAAAACACATAAGAACATTGCTTGATGTAGAATGTTTCGATCACGCAACCATATAGTAATGTGCTTTTTTCCCCTCCAATTCTTGATCGTCGTAAGGTGGTTTAGGGTAATGCGTTAGGGCCAAACGTTTTACCTGATGATGAGGAAGAAATCAAAGAATTATAGTTCGGAAAGAAGAAATAAATTCGACAATACTGATTTTGTCATCAAATGATTTCTTAATATAAAATTAGACGTTTAAATAAAAACGACAGGGAATGTTATTCGAGGTATAATTTTGTGTATTAAACATACATTAATAAATTTTCATTCTCAAACTTTCAATATATAAAATCCATTTGAATTTTCATCTCATAGGCAGGGTCTGATTTCGAAAACCGTTGGCATTATGCACAGAGCCTGCAGGGGCTCAATTGATTTTTAAATTTATGTATTATTCATTAGAAAATGCATTTAGACTTTTAACAACATAATTAAATTATGATATATTAGTAAGTGTGTGCTTATATTCATTTTAACTTTTGTTAACTGCTTATTCTAATATAAAATTCTTAAGGAAAAACACGCACAAAATATATTTAAACATTCAGGTTAGGGCCTATCAGGCTTTATGACGAATCAGGCTCTGCTCATTCAGCACTTAAATCAGGGCTGTGATACTTACCCGTAGAAAGCACAATACCTCGCATTAGTACAATAGAAAACACAATAAAAGCAATAGTACCTCGCACAATAAGTATGCTATAAGAAATAACAGATCAAGTTACGGGAAAAAGTACTGGTATCTTGAGTGCAGCGTTTGTAAAATCCAAGTCACCGTAAAATCCTTTTTGACAATAAAATTTTATTTTGTGTCTTTTCAGAAGTTATTTACATAATTACAGTGATTCAATAATTTTGAAGTAAATATTTCTGTAAAAATGATGGTGTAATAGACTTTTGTCCGTATGGTTTTACGGTAAAAAGTACTGGTACCCTGAGTATTGCGATTTTATTCGAAATTTCTTACAGTGTAGCTGTTCAGGAGAGTAGCAGTATAAATTCGTGACAATCCCGAAACATTGGAAGCTATAAAATATTTACGCGTGTAATAAATTTCCAAAATTATGTGAAATTAAATTTTAACAATTTTTGTTACAATTATGATATAGTGAATATATATCATAATAAAAAAAGGGATACTTTCTGATTATTAACACCTTCCAAAAATAGGAAGGGAAGGAAATAGTTTTACTACCATAAGCAATTAATGTTGATTTTTTTAACAGCCAAGATTCATTTCTTGAAGCTTATTAAAGTTTTTTATTTCCTATGTGCTGCACAATCAATCTTCCCGATGAGCAGACTTAGTGCGTTCCAGAAGTATCCACTCTTTCAGGACCACCACAATGGGTGAGATACCGTTGGCCATGTAAATTTGGACGTCTAGTTTCTGCCACACTAGATGGCAGCACCGAGACTGTATTTGGATGCTAAAGTGCACTAGCTTATTAAAGTAGTAGTCTCAAATATTTTTATTTTCAGCGATGAACAGTCCTTAAAAAACAACAGTGTTTAAAATCTAAGCTTCCGAACTTTTGATTTTCAGCTGGAAGACAAGAAAGTTCATATATACACTGTTGGAATTATAATTCTAAAATTACGGTAAAATACCTGGCAGTAGTCTATCCATCCAATTAACCGTAAAGTTTACGGTATGGAAATTTTTTTTATGCGTTTACGATTTTGAAACCGTTGAGAGCTGTTACGGTTCAAGAAAAAAAAACATAAATGCAAAACTTTTGATTTTAAATTGGGGAATGCAGGATACTGGAAATTCTTCATGTGAAAGAAAAAGAGGAAATATTGGGGTGTCAACGCTGGGACCTCTACCCCCGTTCTGCGGGTCATGTGATTGACACAGATTAGCCCTGTCGGCTATAATGTGTACTTAGCTGCTAGGGGCTAACAAGGGAAACTAGAAAAGTGTGACTCGCCAATTTTGAAATAAACTAGTGGGATGTATGCCTTATGAGGAATGATTTTAGGGAGCAACATTCGTTTCGGCCCATAGAAGGTCCCGTGAGAGATAAAAAATAATTCAATTTATAGAAAAATCAGTATTTTATTGCTTCAATGCAGACTATTAGTTATTGCAATTATCTCATAGTCCAATTAATTTTGTTTTACTTTCACGTACTATAAAATGCATATTTATTGTCCAAATTATTTCGAAAATTTTATATGTCTGTAGTTTTTCAGAAAAACCTGCTAGGTTAATTTAAAAAAAAAAATTGACATCAAATTTTTTTTCCAAGAAATTTTCCAAATTAATTGGAGTATGTAATTGCAAATCAAGTAATTAATTAATAATTAATTAAAAATCAATTAATTTAATTTGCTAATTCATAAATTAATGATCAATTAATTAATGATTAATTGCTTTGCTAATTAATTAATTAATTAATTTATTAATTTGCTAATTAATTAATTAACCAAATTAATTGGAGTAAGAGACAATTACAATAACTAATAGTCTGCATCGTAATAATAAAATACCGATTTTTCTACATATTGAATTATTTTTTATCTCTCACAGGACCTTCTATAGGGCCGAAACGAATGTTGCCCCCTAAAATTATTCCTCATAATGCATACATCCCACTAGTTTATTTCAAAATTGGCGAGTCACATTTCCCTAGTTTTCCTTGTAAGTGGCATCATCAGATGGGCCTAAATAAAAAAACAAACAAATTGCGGAATAATTCTGGTTGCTTAACAGCATTTGGTGAAAGCAGTTAATAAACCGTCTTTCTCTCAGTTAATAGTTCGAATACCATCTTATTTATTGTTATTTGACTGTTTTGTTCGAATATGGTAAAATAACAATATCTTAGGAAGGTATTTTGCTGCATAATTAATTTCTTTCTTAAACTGAATATGGTAAAATAACAATACCTTAGGAAGGTATTTTCCTGTATAATTAATTTCTTTCTTAAACAGACTCGGGATTTAAGGAAAAAAAAGAACTGCCTATATTAATTGTTGTTCAATTTTAGATGCTGCAGTACTGGTATGGATCTATGGAGGAGGATTCTACAGCGGAACCACCACTNGTAAGTGGCATCATCAGATGGGCCTAAATAAAAAAAAAACAAATAGCGGAATAATTCTGGTTGCTTAACAGCATTTGGTGAAAGCAGTTAATAAACCGTTTTTCTCTCAGTTCGAATACCATCTTATTTATTGTTATTAGACTGTTTTGTTCGAATATGGTAAAATAACAATACCTTAGGAAGGTATTTTCCTGTATAATTAATTTCTTTCTTAAACTGAATATGGTAAAATAACAATACCTTAGGATGGTATTTTCCTGTATACTTAATTTCTTTCTTAAACAGACTCGGGATTTAAAGAAAAAAAAGAATTGCCTACATTAATTGTTGTTCAATTTTAGATGCTGCAGTACTGGTATGGATCTATGGAGGAGGATTCTACAGCGGAACCACCACTTTGGACGTCTATGATCCGAAAATTTTAGTATCGGAAGAAAATATCATTGTGGTAGCGATGAATTATAGGGTTGCGTCTTTAGGATTCCTCTACCTGGACAGGCCACGAGTGCCTGGAAATGCCGGACTGTTTGACCAACTGATGTCCCTGGAGTGGATACGAGACAACATTGCAGCGTTTGGAGGTAACCCCCGCAACATCACGCTCGTTGGTGAAAGCGCGGGTGGTGTAAGCGTCGGACTTCATCTCCTCTCTCCTCTGAGCAGAAATCTTTTTCAGCAAGCCATTTTGCAGAGTGGTGCCCCTACTTCCCCATGGGGAATTACAGAAAGACACGAGAACAAAAAAAGAGCACTCTTGCTAGCAGAGGCTGTTAAGTGTCCTCACGACGAGTCCAACATGGAGGCAGTCATAGATTGTCTGCTGAAAGTGGATCCCTTTGAGATGGTAAACAATGAATGGGGGAATTATGGGGTTGTGGAGTTCCCCTTCACCCCTATCGTCGATGGTGCTTTCCTCACTGAGCATCCCAGCCAGTCTTTTGCGACCAAGAATTTCAAAAAGACCAACATCCTGGCTGGGAGCAATACAGACGAGGGGAATTACTTCATTGTGTATTACTTGACCGATTATTTCAAGAACCAAGAAGATGTTTACATCAACAGGCAGGAATTTATCGAGTCGGTTAAGTTGTTGAATCCTTATGTCGGAGAGCTTGCGCAGGAAGCGATCGTGTTCCAATACACAGATTGGGAGAATCCTGAAGACACGATCAAGAACCGGGATGCCATCGATAAGATTGTTGGTGATTACCAGTTCATTTGCGGCGTCAATGAAATAGCCCTGAAGTATGCTGAGACTGGGAATGATGTGTACATGTACTATTTCAGTCACCGTTCCAGTGCTCACTTCTGGCCTCGGTGGACGGGTGTCATGCATGCAGATGAAATAAACTTTATCTTTGGTGAGGCTTTGAATCCAACATTTGGTTACACAAAGCAGGAAGAGCTCTTTTGTAGAAAAATCATGAGATATTGGGCGAATTTCGCAAAAACAGGGTGAGTTAACATATTTATCTTTGTTTTATTTTTATTTAATTCTTTTATCCGCATGAATTTTTTTGGCTCATCTTTNGGTGTCATGCATGCAGATGAAATAAACTTTATCTTTGGTGAGGCTTTGAATCCAACATTTGGTTACACAAAGCAGGAAGAGCTCTTTTGTAGAAAAATCATGAGATATTGGGCGAATTTCGCAAAAACAGGGTGAGTTAACATATTTATCTTTGTTTTATTTTTATTTAATTCTTTTATCGCATGAATTTTTTTGGCTCATCTTATGAAAAAAATATTTTGTTTAGTACCAGAAAAATCCATTTAAAATATTTACAAAGTAGAGAGATTTATCATTTTCATGTAACATTCTGCACGTTTATGTAAGTTTTTTTGTGCTCTGGGTTTTCTATATCTCAATCTCAGTCTTCTGCAGATTTCGCACAAAACATGCATAAGTGAATGTGCCGAATGCTGCATGAAAGTGTATATCTCTATTAGCATTCCAAACGTTTATGTAAGCTTATTTTGCGCACTGTGGTTTCTACATGACAATCTCGGTCTTCTATAGAATTCTCAAAAAACATGCACAAGTGAATGTGCGGAATACTGCGTGAAAGTGATTATTCCTATTAGCATTCCCAACATTTGCAAGTTTATTTTGTTTACTACAGGAAAATCTCGATACTCTTTCTGAACTTGTGTGATGCATACAACGTGTGAACGTGCACAATCTTGTCCCAGGCCGAGCATAGAGAGAAAAATCACCTTTGTGAGTAAACTAACAAGCATTTGTGTGAAAAGCAAACTGAAAAAGACTTTCGCAGTAAGCCCCATGACAAGATAATTCTAATACATAATTCTACCATTGGAAAAATTTTATATACCCGTGTTAGGTGCTAGTACAGAGTAGTATACAAATCGACAAGTTATAACCAGGATATGAACCTGTGTCACCTCATTAACTCTTTCCAAAACAATAAATTTCGTTTGAAAACTTTAGTTAGGCAGAAACTTGCAGAACAAGTGCGACCTTAGACAGTACCCAGTAAAAAAATGATATTCAAATATCACGAAACTTTCTTCGTTTTTGACGAAATCGGTTCCTGGTATATGATACAGGAAGAAATTTTCTCAAAATGCCGAAATAACTATCGTCACTTCCTCGAGGAAACGAAACTAATTTCGTTATTATATTTTCTTACAAAAAAAAGAAAGAAAGAAAGAAAAGCTTAAAGTGGGCACCATATAAAATTTAACCTAAGGAATGTGCATTGTGAGACTCAATAAGTAAGAATAAAACAGAAGTTATTTTACACGCTGACGAGATTTACAACAGTTTTAATAGAGTAAGGTTTTAATTATCTTTTTATTAAGTTTTTACATATATAAATTTTTTTTCTAATATTATTTATTACTTACAAATGTGTTAAATAGTGTTTTATACTTTTGGTTTTTAAGTTATATTTACCTCAGAAGAAGTTGATTTTTTGTTCAAGCTTTAAATTATTTTTACCCATAAAATGATTGATATGAAAATTTGTCTAATTTTTCCCATACATAATGTTGATTTTATTCACACTCACATAAAATACTTGTATTGAGTTTTCTATACCTGACAATTACAATAAATAACGATGGTACTTAATTTCGCGTCTAATAATACTTTCAGAAGTTTGGTGCTTATTTCATTGTCTAAGGACGCGAACGAATTGATGACGTCTCATTTGCACAATCGATTAATCCTTTTTTTAACACCCAAATCTAGATACTTTTGTACTCTTTTCGATTGTTGCATATCGGACAAAAGAACTGACACCATCATTTTCTCTCGGCAATCGACCCCTTCATTCGGCATCCCGTTGCCATGACAAATGACTCCTGGTTGACAAATAACGACATTAAGTCCACCTATTGATTCCCTAAGAGAAAAATTCCGGTCATTGAATCTCGATCAGGCATTTCGTGGAAGTGATGAAAGATATAATTTCTTCCATCTCATTTCTTCTTATTTCGCTGAGACCATTGAATCAGATAAATGGCTGGTTCTTAACTGGAAGTATTAGAGTTAATTTTCTGGAGAGTTAGATCAAAGCTAAGTAACATGGCACTTCACACTATTTAAATACACTAACGTGTTTAAAATATTTACTTAATATTAAGTAAATATCTGTAAAATATTTAGCAGTACAAAAATTAGTTTGGAGCCGTGAGAATTAAGTATTTTATTCTGAACTTTATTTTTTTTCCCGCTAAACAAAAATTATTTTTAAATTTAGCTCTCTTTTGAAATTGTTTATTTATTGCAGTTATTATAGCTCACACTGGTATTTATTGCAGTCGCTAATATTAATTTAATGTAAGTTATCAAAAGTTAAGTAAGGTTTATTTAAGTTAAGTATTATTTAAACACTGCAAAATGTGTTTTATTAACCTGGATTATGTTTTATTTTTCTACCAGAAATGTTATTACGATTCAGTATGGTAATTTTACCAGAGTTTTTTTTCTCCGTGTACAAATTTTCAATTTTTTAAATAAAAGAAATTGCAAACCTCTTAACATGTTGAACAGTATAAATTTTAATGTTCACATAAATTTATAAATTTTATTCAACTTTGATGTGTATATTAATCCTGTTGGATTTTTTCATTAACTAGCCTGAACATTACTTAACTAGCTAAAACAATAAAATGTATTAAGTGAAAAAATACTTAACATTTAAAGAGTTATCATTTAGATAAAAATAACTTAAATAAGTCTTTTATGCATAAAAGAGATAACGAACTTGATGGAAGGCATTGAGTTATCATTTTGAAGAATAAGTTTCACTTCGCTATTAGATAAGCTTAGAAATAAATAGGCTTGTTATCAATACTGCTTGTTGATAACAAGCCTATTATTATCAAAATTAGGCACATAAGAATCATTTTAACAAATTGTGTACTAAATCTTCGTGATAAGTTATATTGTCAGTTAAATTAATTTTTAAAAAAATGTTCAGGTAATTAAACTAATTAAATCTCTAATTTTTTAAAAAAGTGTATTTTAATCAATGAATGAAATAAAAATTAATCCTTTACTGTAATAAATCTACTGGCAGTCAACAGCTCTTTACCATACCAGTCGTATGTTAGCTTTTCGCTATCACAACAATGAACTATACTGATCTTATGGTATCCCTTAACATGACAGTCTTTGCTAATAAATTCAAAATAATATTTTAAAAACCGTCTTTAAATGTAAGTGTTTTTTTTAGGAAAAATCAATAATTTTTTCTTCATTGTTCACATTCTGTTTATCCAACAAAATATAACTCTGACCAAAATGACAACTATATATAAACTTAGATATTCAAACAAACATTTAAGGCAGGAAAAAGTAATAAAAAGCAATAAAATAAAAGATATGTGTGTTTGTAAGACAGCACTTCTTCTGGGGACACACTGCCCTTTGATTTAACTTTTAGTTGTTAATTTACTTCTTTGTCTCTTTTGTTTTTGTAAATTGGATTCATTTTCTGATTAGATAACTATATATAAACTTAATACGAATACAAAGGGCTAAAGAATCGATAAATGAAAAAAATATGTAATATCTAACTTATACATTTATAATATTCTGATAATTCAAATATGGTGCATAAATGATCACGATTCATTAAATTTAATTCAAAACATATTTTTACTGACCGAAATTTATTATTACATTTTTGCACAAAAAAATTCTAGGTTTTTTATGTACTATAACTCTCAATCTTTCAAGAACATTTTATTCATAGTTATTAAATGACGCCATATAAACTGTATAAGAATTCACACAGGAAGTTTTTTTTTGAAGGCAATATGGTGCAATTTTCCATTTTAATCATAATGTATTGCTGAAATTTTAGCAGGGTGTTAAATTAAATTCTGTTAGCTTTAAGGAGGGATCATAGTATCTTGCAGTCAAATTTAGTTTTGTATTTCTTATTTCTTAATAATGAAGTAATTTCTTATTTCTTAATAAGTTATAAAAATATTAACGTAAGAAATGGTTTCATATTTTATGATAAAATTTAGTTAATGTGGTAAAATTTGATAATTTTATCATGATATCTAAGAGCGTATAATAAAGGGTTTAATTTACTTAACAGTTTCGTAATTTTTTACTAACTGTGTGGTAATAAAGGCTTTAATTTTGAAAACCAGAACTTCTAGGAAACCGTTGCCATATGAACGAAAAACTTACCAAATAAATGGTTTAAATACCGTATATTTAGGTTTTATTACCCAGAAGTATGCCTTTTTTTACCAGTAATATCATGACCATAAAGTACGGTAATTTTTACCAGAATTACAATTATTAATAAATAATATGAAACACTATAACGAACAGTGATTGTTATCATTAAGTCGTTAATACTCCACGTCCTTTAGTTTTTTTTTAAACATAATTTTTTACCAGAATTGCAATTCTGAATTCACTAAAACACTGTAACGAAGAGTGATTGTTATCATCAAGTGGTTGATGCTCAACGTCTTTTCTTCCTTTAGACTTAATTTTTATCAGAATTGCAATTCTGAATTCACTAAAACACTGTAACGAAGAGTGATTGTTATCATTAAGTCGTTGATGCTCAACGTCTTTTAGACTTAATTTTTACCAGAATTTACAATTCTGAATTTATAATATGAAATATTGTAACAAACAGTAATGGTTATCATTAAGCCGTTAATGCTCAACGTTTTTTCTTAAAAGCATATTTAAAAATGCGTAATTAGCTAACGGATATTACATCCGATTTAAATTATTTGCATTTCTTTTAAATTTTTTCAGAAGCAAAACGTACCAAGAGCTTTGCTGCTCCAGTTTACCAGCAAAATGGCATCACTAAATACCGTTTATTTAAAATTCGTAGCACGTATTGAATTTCCCATTAACTTTCTTTCCCCTCTTCTTCTTTTCTCATTAACAGTGGAAAAAAAAAGCACAAGTGTCCGATAAATGTTAATCTGATTGGCAACCACAAACCTAAGCAAATTTTGAGATCGATACAGCTATTTTTAGCGACTGTCCTCGGTCCTTGGCCCGATCAGAAAATCTGCTATACCTGGCCGCTAAAATAAATAGCTGCATCCTATTCCCTTTTCACAATCCGGAGCATACACACCTCTCCCCCCCCCACACTCCTTTACCACATACTAGGGAAAACAACTGGTTCGTTTACCCTCAT